CATGTCAGTTCGCGCACTCGTCCTCCCAGTGAGTCAGTTGCGTTATCCACGCTGGAACCCAGGATTATCCCAGCTTCTGCTCCATGCTCTTCCCAGTAGGCCACACAGCCTCCTCCGATCCCGAGGTCTGGGGCAGGGAATGCGGGTTCTCTTCACTAGCTGCGGGCGATAGACTGAGGCATGGTTAGAGGCTTTGAAATGAGATCATTGTGGGGAGAGGCATAGACCCCAGTTACAAAAAGAAATGGGTCTCAGCCCCATGCCATGGGTAATGCCAGCGCTCCCTGCTCAGCCCAGAGGACTGTCAGAACTGCAAACAATGGAGTGTTTCCAGCCGCAGATCCCCCAGCTCAGAGCTCTCAGTCAGCCCTGGTTGTTTGTCTATGATAGCAGCAGTGCAGGGGTTGCTTTCTGGCTGAGCTGGAGAGTTAGCCAGGGATCCCAGGCCCAAAGGTCATTGTGTGGATGTAGCGCTTTCATTACTCACTGTAATTTGTATTGTAGCAGCAGCTAGAGTCCCTGAGCAAGGTCAGAGTCCCCTCATGCTAGGGGCTGTGAGCCTGAGAACTGACAGGCTAAACGGACAAAGGGCTGGGGTTGGGAAACTGAGGCACCGGGAGTTGAAATGACTTGCCCACGGTCATGCTGCAGTTCAGCAGCAGAGCTGGGAATAGAACCCAAGTCTCCTGAGTCCCAGTCCAGTGCCTCTGTTAAGCCCCGGCCCCCTCTCTACAAAGGGAGCGTAGTTTCTCTAAGGCCCCACCCAGTCGTTGGGAGAGAGCACTGCACCATGGCTTAGGTTTGCAATGCCTAGGGCCTGGTCTACACTAGGACTTTAATTCGGATTTAGCTGCCTTAATCCGAATTAACCCTTCACCCGTCCACACTACAGAGCCAGTTAATTCGAATTAAAGGGCCCTTTAAATCGATTTCTGTACTCCACCTCGACGAACGGAGTAGAGCCTAAATCGATTTTGTTAATTCGAATTAGGGTTAGTGTGGACGCACACCACCGAATTACTGTGTTTAAGTTAATGGGGTAGTGTGGCCGCACACCACCGAATTAATGTGGTTTAAAACCGAATTAAGGTGCTTAGTGTGGCCGCGCACAATCGAATTTATACAACCTGTTTCCCAAATTCGAATTATCTAAATTCGGATTAATCCTGTAGTGTAGACATACCCTAGGTGTCTGACCAGGTCTGGCTATAGTGCCTTTTCCTCAGCCTGACTGAGACCCTGGTGGGGTGCCCTCAGACTGCGTCCCCAGGGAGATCCCCACCGGGAGGGAACAGCTCTATCCTCCCCCGCTTGGGGAGAGGGTGGGGAGAAGCGAGCCCTGGCCTGGTGCCGCCGAGGCTCCTGCAGTGGCTGGCAGGTGTGAACGGACATGCTCTCCGCTGATAGCTTATCTACTCAGCCCTGTTTCCATGTGCCGCACTCGTTATTAATATTTACACAGGCAGCAGCGCTAGGTAATGGATGGGAAGGCTGAGCTGCTGCTGACAATGGAGGCTGACTCAGCCAGCCGCGGGGAGATGCTTCCTGGGCAGCTAGAACCTTAGTACAGCCCCACGGCCTAGTAGGGGGAACTAACACCCCGGCTGTGCTCCCCAGCCTGTGCCTACCAGGATCCTCTGCTGGGAGAGGCTCGGACAGGAGCAGCTGGGAGCTCCCCTGCATCCAGTGTTCCTGTCCTACTCCCTTCAGCACCCCCTGCCAGGAGAGGCCAGGACTGCAGTGGCTATGAGTGGCTGAAGCAACTCCGGCTAGGGGAGGATAACGCAGGATCCTCCCCTCCTCCTGCTCTCTGCCTGTGCCCAGCTGGGACAGGTTTGGGGCCAAGGCAGGGATCCATTGGGGCCTGTGATACGAACAAAGGCCAGGTAGTTACTTCTGGGGCAGCAGGAGGACCAGCACGGAGGGAACAGGGAAGCCAATTGGGGGGCTGAGAGCTTGAGGCTCAGACCCACCCTTTTCATCCTCAGGAAACAATAGAAAATCCAGAGGCGTCTAATGAGGGCTGATTGAGTTCCTCTGAAAGGTCCCACTTGGTCCCTTCCCCCAGACCTCCTGGGAGGAAGGAGGATGGCTGGGGGTTTTGTGGTGGAGTTTGAAGAGCTGCTTGGAAGGTGAGAATAGGGGCAAATCCCTCTCCCCCCCGCTCATGGGGGCACAGAGGTCTTTGCCAGCTGCAGGACCACGGCCATCCCCTGTGGAGGTATGGGGGTGGGGGATTCCAGGGGCTATACCCCCTCTATCTGCAGGATGTGTCAGTGGGCAGGGCTGGTGGATGTGCCACAATGCCCCCCCTCCACCCCTCACTGAGAGGTCACATGGGGTGGCACTGAATAACATGAGGTGCTGTCACCCCTTCCTTCTCCTGCAGACAGCCACGCCCCGTTTCTCCCTGCCTTGCTGAATGCTGGCGTTCAGCCTGGGTGCTGAGCCCTGTTGTGCCACCTCTTTCCCCCCCCCCCATGCAACTCTGGGTGCTGCCATCCCCAACATGGGCCAGGCTCCCACATGGTGGCACCGTGAGTGGTTTGGCGCAGCCTCCTTTTCTTGGGGCTGGAGCATGCTCAGTGGGATGGCAGGAAGGTCTGGGACCCACCTGCTCTAGAGAGGCCTTCAGCTCTGCTAGGCCCTCAGCTTGCAAGGAGCGTCCAGGCCTTTTGCTTAGCCATGCCAGCTGGGGCTCACGGTGGGGTGAGGAGGCCGAGGGCAGAGCCAATTACAGTCCCCCACTCCAGAGCCTCCTCTACCAGCTTGCTGGTGCTGCCATGGCAACCCAGGGCTGCACTCTCCCCACACCCTGACCCCCAGACTGTGGCAGTGGAGGGGAGCTAGGTGCTGATTGCATCCCCTGGGTGGTGTGCACAGTGGCTGCTCCCCCCCATACAGCAGATGCTGCCCTCTAACTGGTGAATGAGCGGGGGGAGGGGGAGAATGATGAGGGGTGGCTGGCCCCCCTGAGCCGCCCTGAAGGTCAGGATACGGGCTGGGTCTGAACCCGTTTCCCCTCGCTATGGTGCTGGTTCATGCACGGGGCCCTGGAAGGGCGGCTTCTGGGGCGAGCGGGGGTGTGGACCCTGGTGGCTCTGGGGGTGAATGACATGAGTGAGGAAACCACAGAGGATCTAAGAGGCAGCCCTGTCGTGCAGAAGCAGAGGCTGTGGTTATCGCTCCTATGTCGCTCTGTGCTCCCCCAGAACTGCCTCGGGTCAGGCTTCCCTGGGCTAGGTATGCAGCCATATCCCCACCCACCAGGAGGGAGCCTCATGCTCTTCTCCGCAGTGCCCCCTGCTGGTAAGTGCAGGGCTCAGCGCCCATGTCCAGCCTTCCCCTGCTAGGAGACGCTTTGCCTACCAAATCAATGGTTTCTGCACAAAGCACTGTGTCATCTGCTGCTGATGGGGAGTGCAGAGCTGGGGCAGGGTGCAGATGCCTAGGGCTGGATGTAGACCTTGAAATCCCTCTGTCTCCCCTGGTAACAGCAACCCCTTTAGGCCAAGACTGGAGCAGGGTGGAAAAGCCTAGGGCTGAATGGATGTTGGCTCCAATGCCGTGTGGTGCTGAGTGCCCCCGAATCCCACTGACTTCAGCTGGAGTTGAGGGCTTGCAGCACCTCGCGGGATCAGGCCCTAGGTTTCCAGTGTACCGAGAGAAAGGTGATGACAAGGTTGGGGAATCGGGTGGTGTGGGGCTAAAGCAGTGTGCAGAGGTGGGAGCAGCCCCAGTGGAGGTGGAGTGTGAACTGCTCTCTCCCCTAGAAAGTGTGGAGCCCTGCAATGTGGGGGTATGGACCTGCTGCTCAGGAACATGGCTGAAAGCAAGAACAGGCAGTCTCCGTTCCCCTTTTTGCCCTCAGTGTGAGCTGGGGGGAAGGGGGCGGGAAGCATGATGGAGCCTTCCATTCCATGAAGCTACCGACACATGCCTCTTCCACCTAGTGCTTGCATCCCTCGACGAAGGGGAGCGCCAGCCAGCCGCGTGCGGCAACGGGGGAGTTGTGAAGAGGGTGCCAGCTGCATTGGGGCCAGTCCCATTTAATATCCTCATTAATGATCTGGCAGGGAGAGTAAACAGCAAGTTAATGAAATTCCCTGATGATTCTAAATTGGGAGGAGCCGCAAATAAGAGCCAGGGCAGAGTATTCATTCAAAGGAAACATGGGGAGAAAAGGAGAACCCAAGGCTCAGCTTGCAAAATGCACACGAATAACACAGGGAGGGAGAAAAACAAACCATTCTATGGCGGGGGTGGAGGAGCCTCGACAGCCCGGGTAGCCCCAGGATAGTGTGTACCGTGCACTGGAGTTTGCAGTGTGATATGGCAGGGAAAACAAAGGCTCATATAATGTAGGATGGCATATGCAGCAGCGTCTCAGAGTGAGGAGGCTCTAGGCTCTCTGGCCAGCTGGGCTGAATTCTCCAGTCATTTACCCCAGCGAGAGTGCAATGCTCCCCCAGTCAGCGGCAGCATTTTACGCTCTTTTTGTACTGGTGTAAGTGACCCCATGTGGAGAACTGGACCGTTGTGTTCATTTCTGGGCTCTGCTTTCCTAGAGAGCGATTGACTAATTGGAAGCTTTTCAGCGAGGAGGAGCAAAATACCAATTGGGAGAGACTGAATGGTGGGGAAAGTTAAGCGAAGAGTGAGGAGACTGCGGCAAGTCTGCGAGGGGTGAAAATGCCAAGGCAGGAGAGGAATCGTTTGGAGTGGGCTGCGAGCGGGAGTGATGGGAGCAGGTGATAAAAGGGAGGCAGGACCCCAGGAGAAAGAAGCCTGATGGAGAGGTCTGTGGCCAGTCTCCCAAGGAAGGGGTAGCAGCCCTTGGAAATGTCAAGCTGTGCCAGGCAGAACGCTACTCACTATAGAGTTGGGAACAATCCCGCCTTGGCTGAAGAGGGGTCAGAGGAGCTGCATGGCCTCCTCTTGCTCTCGCCCTGCGCCTTTCAGCAGCGGGGAATCCCTGCTCATGTCCCCTCTTGTTGCAGTACCGCGTTGGACAGCTCTACATGATCAGTAAGCACAGTCACCAGGAGAGCGAAAAAGGCGAGGGTGTGGAAGTGGTGAAAAATGAGCCGCATGAAGACCCTGTCCACGGGCCCGGCCAGTTCACCGAGAAACGTGTGCACCTGTCCAGGTGAGAGCTCCTCTGATCCATCCCCTGGATGATCATCCGCAAAGCATAGGCTACTTCTGCCATTGTCCCTGGGGGCTGAGCGCCGGGTTAAGGCTTCCCTAATAAACAATGTCTTTCCTGAGTAAGGGGCCCCTGATCGCAACCCTGACATCTTGGAGGGTGTTTTATTAAACCCCATTTGACAGCTGTGGGGCTGCACCTCTCTTTTTGTTCTGTTTGAACAGCACCTTGCACAGTTCACAGTGGGCTCCTAGGTGCTACCACACTGCTAATCATAAATAATAATGTTGTGCTGTGGCTCTAGAATGGCTACAGTACAAGCAGCAGCCGTGCACGCTCCCCCTGCATGTTGCCACCTGATCTAGAGACCCCCTCGCCTCTATGGGCAAGAGGACAGAGGCTCTCTGCTGAGACCGGAGCAGTTAGAGCCAGGGTGATGGACAGCTTGTGATGTGGACACTTCACCACAAGCCTGAGATCCCCAGCTGACTTCATACAGGGCCACCAAACAACAAGGATGGGATTTGAACCTGCAATCCGGCTCTCCTGTCCTGTATGTGCCAGCTCCCCTCTCTCTCCATGCTTTTTGCATCTAGCCTTTGTTCCGGGCCTTCCAAAGACCTGGTCACTGGATCCTGCCTGTTCTCTGTGTTGGTTTCTCTTTGAAATCCCTTGGGCTCTCTCCAGCACCATCCCCCCACCACTTCTTTCTCTGACTCGCCCCTCACCAAACACACTAACTCCAGTACAACTCAGCCAATCATTCGCATTTGAGAGGTTGCTTTCACCCACCCCCAGGAGCAGAATCCCAAGAAGTGTGTGACATATCCGCTACAGTGACCAGGACTTCTTAGTAGCAAGAGCTCATGAGGTTCTTGCTGAGCTGGTCTCTATCCCCTGCTGCTTTGTGCCCTTTCCTCTTGCATCTCAAGGTGGTGTTCTATCCTCCAGGCAAAGCTCTCCTCTTATGTTAGGTCCTGGATGGTCCTGATAGGGAATCCTGCTTCCTGCAAATGTAGCTCACAGGACATCAGTGGTTGCAGAAATAATTCTTGGGACCCATCCAGGCACCACGTCCCAGCATTGTCTCACACTAGCTGCCACAGATGAATGTTCCCACCTGCCAGCAGGAGGAGCATGTCTGTCAATATCCCCTTTATTCCGGCTCAGCTTTGATTCCTACTCCAGTCCGCATGTCCCCTTCTGAGCCTCCTCTTGAGTGATCCTTGAGCACGATGGATTAATAGCTTCCCTGATCCCAGAAAAGGCCACTTCAGCTCTGCATCTTGAGAAGCAGCAGCCGGGCCAGGTGTCTCCCTAATTTATTGGCCCTTGTTTGGTAGCGGCCTCCAGGTGTCTGAATCCTAATGAGTTCCTTAAGGCGAATGGCGGCTGCATTGGGGCAGCATGAGGAGAGCTGTGCTGGGCACTCAGGTGGCTCTGGGAAGCCACTAGGGGCTGTGGATGCTGCAGGTCCGGTGTGCTTTGCTCTTGGAGAGCTCTCATCTGAGCATCCAGGCGCTTTGCTAACATGAGCGGAACCTCGCAGTGAGTCACTCTCCTTGTCCCCACCCCACATGTGGAGAGAGCGGGGAAGTGACGTGCCCAAAGCTACCAAGCGGGTCAAAGGCAGAGCTAGCAATAGACCCCAGGAGTCCAAGCTCCGAGCACTAGATCACGCTATTGTATAAATCTTCCCAGAGCGCCTGCCGCCAGTTTACAGAACCTGGCGGTAAATGGGCACCATGAGCAGGGCAGGACGGAAATTGCAGGGGCTTGTCCCTGAGGATTACTAGGGCAGGATGGAAATTGCAGGGGCTTGTCCCTGCGGATTACTAGGTTCTGTTCACAGGGGTTGGCAGTGGGCCATCCCTGCACATTCAGAGAACTCAGCCATCTAAGAATCCCCTGCTCCCCACCATGGTCATGTCAATCCCTAACCCCAGTCAATCTGTTCCAGGTGATCTCATCCCCAGACTCTCTGAGTCACCCAGGGGTGACACCTGGAACCCTGCCACTCCCAGTCCTCCTCTCCAAGGCCCTCTGAGGTGCTGGGTGGCTGCTTGCCCCATCTTCCTTCTTTAACGAGTCCCCAGGTAGGTCACTGCCTTCCCAACTCCAGAGTGTCCTCAAGGAGGAGGGGGTCAGGAGGCAGAGGTCATCCCCATAGTTAGTGGTGGCGGGGCCAATGGCTGCAGTTGAGAGCACATTTCCCAAGGGGTCCAGAGTGAATAACTACCATCTGCTCCCAGGGAGGGAGCCTTGTCTGTCCCCACTGGGGGGGGGGAGAAACTCAGCCCATCCTCAGCCACTGGCTGCTGGCAACACCAGCGTCCACTCTGGGCTCCAGGAGATGCACTCTCCCATCCTGCGTGCTAGCAATGGACACACCCCACTGGGTTACACGTGAGTGCCCAGTCCCTTGTCTTCTGGACACCCGCAGTGTGCACTGAACCGCTGCCTCCACGGAAGCAGGGTCTCCCCGTTTATGGGTTTCACCTTTGCAAAGTTTGCTCAAGGCCCCTAGCCAGTCTGCAGTAAAACCAAACAGAGCTGGAGACAGAGATTCAAATAAAAGCAAGTCAAAGGGTTTGGAAACGAAAGGTTACAAGTAGAGAGATACATGAACCCCACTCGATAGCCTGTACTTATTCCCAGGTTACTTTCCCATCTAAGGTATTTTTCACCCAATGGTTAGTCGTTGCAATGCTTGTCCAGTTCAGAAAGTTGGAATCCACCTTTCATGAGACACCCTCTCTGGCAGAATTTCTCCTCTGTAAAGGATAACAGCTCACCCCACCACCAATTCTTCTGTTCCTCTATAATCACAGGCTATTGTCTCTTAGCCCAGGGCCCCACCTCTTCAGAGAATCCTCCTGCAGTTCCTTTGTTTTTGTAAATGCCCAAGTCTCCACCTGGACCATAGTAAATACATTGCTGTCTTCCTGGAGGGATCTCCATTGTCCTCCGCCCTGAGACCCCACCTCAGCACAGGAGACAAGACTCACTTTGCAACCTAATAGTCTACATTTTGCATCTCTCTTAACCTATTAGTCCTGTTCAACCCCCATGCAGTAACCATGACAATCAGCTAGATCTTAGCTTTTATCCCCTTCCGGTGAAACATAGAGAAGATGGGGTAATATACCTGCCTGGGTAGGTCTGTATCACACCCCCTATGGCAGAGAAGGAGGTCAAGGCTGTTTTCTGACCCCCTTTCCCTCCCCAAACACCTTATCCTTTTGCCCCAAAGATCCAGTGAGACTGGAAGGAGCAAAGGCTCTGTCTAGCAGCCCTGCCCAAGAAGGAAAACTGTGTCAGTCAACTGATGCCCCATAGAGAGCTCTAGGGAGAAGGCCCCAGGCCAGCTCAGAGCTTGGAAGTCAGACTACGGCTCTGTGGGGAAGGCATTGCTTGTGAGGAGGAGTTTGTGCAGGGATTGCCTCAGTGTGATGGCTTCTGTCCTGCTGTGCGGAGTGCAGGGCACTCAGAGGTGTCAGGAGGCAAGCTCCCTGCCCCGCAAAGTCTAAATGCCTTCTGGTTAGAAATCCATTTCAAACCCTGGCCAGGCGCTGGGGCCATATGCCTGATCAGACTGTTGGTCCAGCTCACCTGGTGTCTGACTTCTGGCAGTAGCCTGTAGTTGACGTTTCAGCCAACCCCCACGCTGGATGCAGCACAGGGATCCGCTTACTCCTTGGTACCTGAGCCTGCCAGATGGAGCAATTTGCATCTGGCCTGCACACACCTAGCACTCCCTTCAGTTTGCATTTAGTCATGAACCTCCCTGGGGGCTGAACATGTTCTGGTCAGGTGTCGATCTGCCCCTGACTCCAGAGAAAGTTGCATTCTCTCTCTCTGAGCCCTTATTGCTGAGATAGGAGATGACTCTGGGGTGCTGCTTCAGGATGAAAAATGCAAACAGCTTGCTAGTGAGCTCAGTGCTGCCACCTAGTCCAGCGACCATTGCTGTGGCCGTGCTGCAAAATACCTGTTACTAAAAGCACACCAGCAGGTTAGAATCCTACCGTGCTCCTGCACTGAGCTTTGCCAATTGCCTTGGAGAGCTAAATAAGTATTTGCCGATAGATCAGCTCAATATTTGCAGTATTCAAGCTATTGCCTATGACTCATATAGGGAACTACAAGGAAATAACTCAGCACTATTTATCTAAGTTAACAATGGCAAGGTTTTAAGGGCCAGCACTTGTATTTTAAAGTAGCTCCTTACTGAATTATTAACAATTGTGATTAGAATGGAAAGAGCTTTAAAAATCTCATGTGCCTGCCATCACTGGCACTGGCTGTTCACTTTCTGCATACCACTCTGCAGGAGCTGGGAAACTGGGTTAGTCGTGTAGCTTCTGTATCTGGTCAGTTTCACTTTCAGGTTCTCATTCAGCTAAGGGGGGAAGAGATAATCTGCTTCAAGCTTGTGTTCCCTTTTTTGACCTGAGGGTAGCAGGAATTTGGGTCTTGTAGGCTTTTCCAGTTGGGAGGAGAAATTGATGATGGAGTCCGGTACTGTTGAGGCAATCTTGTTTGTTTCCAAGGAACATACCAAGTCTTGTTTCCCTGAATGCAGGAGGAGCCAAAAGAACAGAAGCTTATATATTTGCTTACAGCCCCATGCCTCCAGGCTGTGTGTGTCTTTTGTCCCTTCTTATTAGACTCTCTCTCTCTCTCTCCCTCACACACACCCCACCCCAAAGGCAACACCCTGTGGACCCCTGTGCCTGTGTAGTTCAAATTCTCTTGGTGGGCTCTCGTACCCCCTTTGTCTTAGGGGGGTCTGCTTAGCTGTCTCTTACAGCTGTCTTAAATGAGAGGTGGAGGAGGTCATGCTCACACCTGACAATTTAAAGGTTTAACCCAACCCACGACACTTGGAACTGGGAGGGCAGGAGAGCTGAGTTTTCTTCCCACCTTGCCTCAGTGTCACTGTTTGGGCTAGTCAGTTATGCCCCAATTTCCAAAGTTGGGTGACTAATGTTACCATATACAGACCTCGATTCTGCAAAAGGGACCCACCCATCCAGACCCTTAGGCTCACCTCCAGTGCCTTGGAAAGCAGTGGGACTCCTCACCGGCATTTGCAGAACGGGGACTGTAGGCGCCTAGATAAGTGATCTGATTTACAGAGGTGTTGAGCTTTTGCAGGGAAATGGATGGTGCAGTGGCTGGGCACCTCTGTGCAGGCGGCACTTGTTTAGATGCTTGAACATGGATTTAGAAGCTGAATTTGAGGTGCCCAACTCTGAAAACGCTGGCCCAAGCCTTTCGGCGTTTGATGAAGCAGGAGAGAAAAATGGGCTCTACTGAGACAACCAAGGAAGGCAGACCTTGTCCTCCCACCCAGTGGCAATGCAACACACTAAAGATCTGTGTGTCTGGCTTGTTGCAGCCCCACAGCCTGATCTTGCCATGTACAGAGCTTGCATTGACTCCAGTGGCCATGCCAGACCCATAGAGGGACTGCAGGGACTCCAGCAAAGTCACCAAACGATTTTATGGGCGCAGAATCCTAGGGTTGCTCCAGGATTCTCTGTCTTTCTCAGGGCATCCCTACAGCGGAGTTGGAGAACCCAATTACATGACCACTGCAAACTGTAGTGTAGACAGGACTCTTTAACCAAGCTGAGACCCAGGGCTGTCCGTGGCTTTAGCCCCATTACAAGGACTCAGATGTGTTCTGCCTACACTACAGTGCTTAGCTGTCTGATACCGGGGTGCTTGGTCTGGGCTAGCTGAGTGGGCCTTTGTCTCTGTGTTTCACTGACGCTCACTCTCACTGCCCCGTCCCCTGGCTTTTTTCTCTTTCCCATCCTTGGTTTTCTCTTCCATTTGCTGTGGCACAACCCTCTGGCTTTCCCCTTGCTGATCTATCAGCAATTGCGAATAGATTGGAGAAGAGCGCCGATGCCTGCGAACTGGCCTTGCGCCCTGGCCCCCTCCATAGACGGAGGGAGGCGATGGACAGCTTGGCTGTGTGAGGCAGTCCTGGCTGTGCTGCTCCGTCTCCTCACAGCACATTAATCGGCTGCTTACCCACAGAGGGAGCTGCTGGTGCTAGACAGGGTATTTTTAGCCGAGGCGCTCACGATTCCCCTCTTGGGGATGCTATTTATAGAGGCTGAAAATTAATCAAACCACACCTCATCTCTCCCTCCCCCCTCCAGCTCCCCTCCAATGGGCGAGGAGCGGCGGTCACGGCGAGCTGGCATGAACATACTGTTCATTTCCAGCCCCGGCTGCTGCAGCTCTGCCTGTGAGCAGAGGCTCCTTGCCCAGCCCAGCGACAGTCATGTCCCCCCCCCAGCGCGCACATACGCTGCGTCCCTTGCCCCGACCCTGCGGGGCCTGCGCTTCCAGTGCCTGGGGGTAACACTTGGCAAAAGCAGTCGTTGGGAGCCAGGGGCCTGAGCTGGCTCCCCTTGAAATCAAGGGCTCAGCTGCCTTTGTTTTGGTGGGAGCAGGAGCCGACCCTGTGCTCCCTGGAGGGGGAGGAATGCGCGAGAGGCTGGGCCCAGGTGGGTGAGCTGGGAGGGCGTGGGGCTGCAGGGGGCTGGAGGATGGAGTTGGAAGGATGCAGGCTGGCTGGGGAGCATGGCAGTGGACCCACTGGGTGGGAGGGGGGTGGGGGGGCAGCTGGGAAGCACATTGTCTCCTAGCTCGGTGCGTATGGAGTTGGGAAGCCGCTGGCTGGTTAGGGGGCTGCAGGGCTGGAAAGGTGTCAGGAGCTCAAGCCTGGGCCCAGGGCGGTGAGGGCTAGCTGGGTCCCACAGGGTGGGTGCAGCCCCTCTCTCCCCCAGGGGGTGGCCCCTGCACGTCAGCGCCGAGGCGCATTGGCAGGGATTGTGCTGAACCTGCTGCAGGGGTGAGCGGAGGAGTTCAGGCCCAGGGCTGTGAGGCCAGAGGGCCGAAAACCAGCCGAGCTCTGTGCGCTAACGAGAGCCCCCTGCTCTGCTCTGCTCTTCTCTTCCCTTCCCCTGCAGCAAGCTGCCCAGCTGGGCCCGCGCGGTGACCCCCCGGATATTCTACATCACAGAGAAGGCCTGGAACTATTACCCCTACACCATTACGGGTAAGAGGCCCCCAACCCTGCCCCCCACTCAGCCACTGCTCTCTGGGCACGCGGAGAGGCACCATTCTTCTCCTCCTCCTCGTCCTCCAGCCCTTCACACCGCAGCTGCTTCTGCCACCAGCACTGGTCTGACAGGGGAGTGACTCCCGACTCACACCGGGACAGGGGGCCCAGGCCCAGACCCTCCCATTGTTGGGCACATCAAGAACTACAAAGCAATTCTCCCCGCGCCCTCTGGCCTCCTGAGGCAGGGATTCAAGGTCCTTCATACCAGGTTGGGGGACCCACTCGTCTGTCTCCCCCCCACACACCCCGCCCACACACACTAGGGCTTTGTGTTGCAGCATGGACAGGCCTAGACCATGTGTTAGCTGTGCCTTGGTCCCATCTCCACTGCAGGACTAAGCCTTGCTTGAGCCATGCCATGGCTGGGCTGCTGCCAGCTCCGCCCACATGCTGCCCGGCTGCTGCAGATCCACGGCCTGAGGCAGAGGTAGGAGTGCAGGGAGCGAGTCCTCAGCCAGAGTAGATGAATGTGGGACCTCACGCAGGGTCCTCGCTGCCCTGGTTTGCCAGCAGCTGCCTGAGCCCTCCACAGGGGGCGCTCTTCTCCTGCTGAAAGGGACGAGGCTTGGAATGCCAGGCAGGATCCTGCACAGCAGCACTCGCAGCCTTTGGGTGGGGCCGTTCCAGCATCCAGCTGTGCGCCCAGGGATTCCCAGTGACCCATGCCCCACCTGTAGGATTCTGCACAGTATGACAGAGCCAGGTCCCCCTCCAGGACATGGCACTGCCTGTTCATGGTGGTGCCCCCTCTGTAGCCCAGCCAGCTTCACCTCAGATACCTCCCTCAGCAAAATATAGGCTCGTTGTTTACTGGAAATGTTGGACAATAATCTCCTCTAGAACGGCCTGGAGGGGAATCCAACCAGTCAGGCCCCTAGCAGTGCTGAGTGCCAGCGGCATCTGTGCCCTCTGCCCACAGACATTGGGCCTGAATTCCCCCCTCCACACAGAGCAAGTGAGTTCCCCTCCCAGCAGCACGTTGAGTGTGCATCTGAGGTGGTATTTTCACCCAGCGATGATCTCACAAATGGGAGGGAGTGGTTCCCACGCAGGGGTGAGGCAAAAAGGGACATGCTTAAACCCAGCCCCATTCATCATCGCCAGCCAATTATCCTTGATTTTTGAAGCTCAGGAATTTTAGGTCAATTTTATGGGGGTTTTAGTGGGTTTGACAACTCTCTGCATCGGCAGTGGGGACTCCGCTCCAGAAGCAGGGAGGTTCTCTGGTGGGGTGGGAGTCCTTTGCCCAGGGAGCAGGGGGTCTCTCTAGCTGGGTTAAGGGTCCTTTGCTCCAGGAGTAGGAGGGTCTCTCTGGTGGGGTTAGGAGGTCCTTCACCCCGGGGAGCAGGGATCTTTCCAGTAGGACTGGGGGTCTCCCCTTGGGGAGTGGGGTTTGTTTCTAGGCCTGAAGAGAAAAGCTGATCTCCTCTCCCCTTCCCTTCCCCTGCATTGTGCAGTTCTGATGGACCAAACTCCCCTCTAGGGAGGATCAGCTCATCACACCTTGTGTCACTGAGCGAGGCAGCATTTCCCAGTGGTCTGAGCGCAGTGCTGGGAGCCGGGACCCCATGTTCGAATCCCAGCTCTGGCACAGTCTGTCTGTCCTCTTGGGCAGATCCCCCACAGGCCGCCCTCCTCCCTGCAGTAACTCTGCTGGTGTGGGGAGTAGCAGCAGGGGTGCCTCCCTCCCCCGCTTGGGGAGCTGTCTCATTGTTTGGCTGGAATGTCACAAAGCGACACTTGGGTGCGTGCAGGGCCGGCTCCAGGCACCAGCCGAGCAAGCTGGTGCTTGGGGCGGCAGCTTGTAGGAGGCGGCATTCCGCCCAATCCTAGGGCGGCACGGCCGCTTTTTTCTTTTCTTTTCTTTTTTTTGTTTGTTTTGTTGTTGTTCCGCTCTGGCCGCCCTGTAGGGGGTGGCGGCGCGGAGGACAGCAAGCCCGGCAGCAAGCCCGTTAGGGCAGTCCGCGTCCTTCCTTCCCAGCCGACCGGAGCAGCGCGGAGCCCTTCCGGCAGGTGGCAGGCGGCCCCAGCAGCGCCCCGCTGAAGCCCTGGCTGCCCCCCTTCTCTCTCTCCCCCCCTCCCTCCCCCTTCCCCCGCTAGCCGGGGCACATCTGCAGCGCAGGGAGTCCCCCTGCACCCTGGCTCCGGCCTCGCCGCAGGTTTTTCTTTTTTTTTCCTTTGCCGTTCTGGCCGCCCCGTTTGTTTGTTTGTTTGTTTTTTGCTTGGGGTGGCCAAAAAGCCAGAGCCAAGCCAGCAGCTGTTCCTAGGTCTCATCTCTCTCTTGTCTCTCTCCCCGGTGCCCTGCTCTCCTGCACTGCCGGACCCTACGATCACTGTGCTGTCGGTGCAGAGTACACGGTAAGAACAGGGACCTGCCATTATACCGTTCCCAGCACCCCTGCTGGGCTCGCCACTGGAGCTGCTGGTTGGCATGGCCCTGCCTCCTGCTAGGCATGGCTGAGGTGCGGGGGGTGGGTGGGAGGGGCGTGTGAGAGAGCAAATTCAGAGCAGCCCCATTATTTTCCTAACTGGCAGCTCAGAGGGCAAAGCACTAGCCCCTCTTGTACTGCTAGACTCAGGCCCCACTGCTCCCTTTCTCCATCCATCACGCTTACAGTGCGCCTGGGGTAGATGGCCCCATGGCTGGCCCCGCCCCACCACCCTGCCAATCCCTGCCCTGAGGGCAACTCAGGGTGGTTCTGCCTCCAGCCTAAGGGAGAGGGTTAACCCCTTCCCTGACAGACGCTGGGTGGGGCCTGTATACTGTCACAAGGTGTATCTTGCCACTTGCTGACGTCTGCTCCCTTTGTGCCCCACTGCCGTCACACGCATGCCATCCTAGCTCCCCTCCTGCCTGGGCATCATTCACTCCCAGGGCTCAGGGAGACTGCGCTGAGACTGCGCTAACCCTCCTCGCTAGATCGGCTCCCTCCAGGGCAGACACAAGCAGGCCAATGACCTGGGCAGCGTGGGGGGCACTGGCACTGCCCATGCTGTGCCTGGTTAGGTAGGGGGCTTTAGTGCCCTGGGAATTGCCCCGACAAGCAATCTGATGAGAGCCTCTGATGATAAGTGGGTCTGACATGGGGTTCACTGTGGGGGAGGACTTGACCCTGCGCTGGCCTAGCTAGCGTTGGGTGATGTTCTCCAGGCTGGCTCGTAATGGCCTGTCCCTCTCTCTGCAGTGCTCCTTCCTGCCAAAGTTCTCCATTTACATTGAGACCAAGTACGAGGATAACTGTGGAGACAACGCGAATGTAAGTGGCTCAAACACACACCCTACACACTCTACCACTCCTCTACCATGTTTGCTGAACTCCATTGGAACCAGCCATTCCTAGCCCAGACCCGCCCAGTGCCTCTGGCTGGGGTGCTGAAGGGGACGCTGTGGGGTGAGGCTCTCGGGCTCCTTTCCCCTATTGCATGGGGCAGTGGTATGCAGCCCCACACCACTCCAATGACCCCCTTCCACTAGGTGTGTGTGGGCTCCCGTGTATGCCCGCGGGGCATGCTGCATCTCCTAGAGGAGGCCAGAGCCTCCAGTCCAGTTGCCTAGGCAGCAGGCTCCCTGGGGCCGGTGTGGGTGTGCCACACATGACTGAGGACATTGCTCAGATCCCAGGCGTCACTCTGTTGGCAGCATCTCTTCGGAGTGAGCCTGAACATAAGAACGGCCATGCTGGGTCCATCTAGCCCAGGCTTCTGTCCTCCGACAGTGGCCAATGCAGGTGCTTCAGAGAACAGGTTTGTCAAACCCCGTTATAGTTTTGACCTTCAGAACATCCCCTGGCAACAAGTTCCACAGGCTGACTGTGCATTGTGCGAAGAAGTACTTCCTTTTTGTTTGTTTTAAACTGCTGCCTATTCATTTCATTGGGTGACCTCTGGTTCTTGTGTTATGGGAAGGAGTAAATAACACTTCCTTGTTCACTTTCTTCACCCCAGTCATGATTTTATAGACCTCTTAGTCATCTCTTTTCGCAGTCTTTTTAACTTCTCCTCATACAGAAGCTGTTCCATGCCCTTGATCCTTTTTGTTTGTCTTCTCAGTCTGTACCTTTTCCAATTCTAAGATTTTTTTTTATTTTGTTTTTGAGATGGAGGTAACCAGAACTGCCCACAGTATTCACGATGTGGACATGCCATAGATTTCTATAGTAGCATTATCATATTTTCTCTCTTATTACGTATCCCTTTTCTAATGGTTCCTAACATTCAGTTCGCTTTTTTGGCTGCTGCTGCACATTGAGTGGATATTTTCAGAGAACTATCCACAATGACTCCAAGATCTCTATCTTGAGTGGTAATAGTTAATTTAGACCTCATCATTTTGTATGTATAGTTGAGATTGTTTTCCAATGTGCATTACTTTGCATTTATCAACATTGAATTTCATCTGCCATTTAGTTGCCCAGTCACCCAGTTTTGTGAGATTCCTTTGTAATTCTTTGCAGTCTGCTTTGGACTTAACTATCTTGAGTAATTTTGTATCGTCTACAAATTTTGCCACCTCACTGATTACCCCTTTTTCCAAACCATTTATGAATATGTTGAACAGCACTGGTCCCACTACAGCTCTCTGGGAAGAACCACTATTTACCTCTCTCCTTTCTGAAAACTGACCATATATTCCGACACTTTGTGTCCTATCTGTTAACCAGTTACCAATCCATGAGAGGACCTTCCCTCTTCTGCCATGACTGTTTACTTTGCTTAAGAGCCTTTGGTGAGGGTCCTTGTCCACATGTTTGTTGACTTCCACAAAGAATTCTAATAGACTGATGAGGCATGATTTCCCTTTACACAAGCCATGATGACTTTTCCCCAACAAATCGTGTTCATTTTATGTGTCTGATAATTCTGTTCTTTACTATAGTTTCAACCACTTTCCTGGTACTGAAGTTAGGCTTACTAGCCTGTAATTGCCAGGATCGCCCTGGAGCCTTTTCTAAAAACTGGAGTCACGTTAACCATCCTCCAGTCATCTTCAAGGAGCTTTCAGGAGCCCTCCCAGCTGGGAATGGCTCTTGCCCATCACAGAGCTAGTTCTAGGGCCCATTTCCCTGCAAACGTGTGTTGGCACTGGGTGGGTGCGGGCGGGTGCTCAGGGCCAGCTGAAGAGGGTGTGTTTCTTACCCTTTCCCTTCCACCCCCAGATCTTCCTCAGTGACAAAATCCTGGGCGATCATGAGGTCACGTTCCTGGACATCGCCTTTGACGAGATTCCTGAGCGCTATTACCAGAGCCCAGAGGTAATGCCAGCCCAGGAGGAGAACAGGGAGTGAGCAGGACGTGCATAGGTGTTGCCAGCACATCCTTACGCTCCCACCAACCCTGGGCACTGCTCCGAACACACACCTACAGGGCCACACACCAACCCGCCAGCCTACCCCTGTGCCCACACCTGCCTGCCCAACCAGACAGCTACGGACCTGTTCCTCTACAAACCTGCTCCTGCACTGCCTGGCCTGCTCTGGCCCCCTCGGCCCTCCCACCCGGCCTGTGCCTGCCCCTGCCTATCCACTTTCCTGCCCATTTGTACATTCAAATCCACCCATCCTCAGCTGGGAGGTCCAGTATCAGTGAGGCCTGGACCAGATGTTCTTGACCACCACTATTAACCATGAGCTGTTCTAAGTGGGAAGGAGACCAACTCTGGGGCTGGAACGAAATAGAGCATTGAAACACCCACAGGCCATGGGGTTGGGCTAGTTTCTTTCTAGTTGTGATTGGCATCAAGACTTGGCATGCTGAGCCACCCCCTTCTGTCCCTCTCCACGGCAGGACCCACGGTACTTCAGCTCGGTGAAGACGGGCCGGGGGCCCCTGAGAGAAGGCTGGCAGGAGCACACCAAGCCCATCATGTGCTCCTACAAACTGGTCACAGTTAAGTTCGAGGTGTGGGGGCTGCAGACACGAGTGGAGCAGTTTGTCCACAAGGTGAGTGCATGGCAGTCTGGCATTGTGGGCGGGGTGCTTCTGCCCCTCCAATGAGACAAGACCTCTGAGTCCCCAGGCGCTGCGGGGGGAGAGGCAGCAAGATCCTAACATTCCCATGTTCCAGCCAGGGACTCTGTCTGACAAGGCGGGGTCAGGCCCACACAGCTCATTGCCTGATGGCAGGAGAGACCCCTAGAGCACCGCATCTCCAGGCCTAGCTGAGCACATGCCCAACCCATGCGAAGACTTGAGAACTCTGCAGTCGTTAGCACCTGATCTGGGATTATAAATAGACCCTGCTGGCTGTGGCTATGTTTTAATGAGCTGGTTAAAGAATGAGTGTGCATACTTGTGTATGTACACACAAGCATACATACAGATGTACCACTGTCCTCTACTAGATGGAACCGGAACCTCTCAATTGTGTGTCATAGCCCCTATACTGCTAACCCTTACTGGAGATTCTCCTTGAGCTCAAGTGACCTGTGCTTTTGGTGCAGGAGGGCGGGAGTCTTGTCCCCACTGTTGCAGGTATGTTCCAGGTGTACATGGGCTGCACAGCCCATTGACAGCTGTGAAGTCCTGCATGGCCACAGATTTCTTACCATGTATCATATTGTATCTGGATGCCGGCTGTTGCCCCAGCCCTGCGCACTGAGAGGAGGCACAGGCTCTTGCTGCTCTGGGCAGGAGCTCAGCATGACAGACCCTACTTCTTCTCTCTGGAGGGGCCGCCTACTCTCTGCCATGAGGAGCTTTCGGGGCTAATTCAAAGCAGGACTCTGCCCACCTTTGGCAGGGCGAGTGGGACTCAGGGCTCAGAGCAGAGGGATCTGAGGTTGGGGGGAACCCTGGCAGTGCCTGCTGGGATATAACTGTGCTGTGGTTGCAGGTGATCCGGGACATCCTGTTGATAGGACACCGGCAGGCCTTCGCCTGGATAGACGAGTGGTGCGGTGAGTGAGCCTACAGCAATATTGCTATGGCGGTAGATGAAACCCACTGTGCAGCAGAGCTGCAGGAGCCTCCTGCCCTGGTCCCTGGGGACCCCCCTCCCTTCCGCCCCCCCAGCCCTGGTCCTTGCCCTGTGTCTGGGCTGGGCTACAGTGCCAGGGTTTCCCAGCAGCCTCTCCCTGCCACAGTGAAAGGGGTCGTTCACATTGAAACATGGGGCCCAGCCATCAGAATGCTCGTCCCTTCCCAAGACAAACCCACTTTCCCCAGGCCTGGGGGAGCATGGAGTCAGCTCCTGCCCTTACAGGTGCCCTCTGTCTCTGCTCCTGGCTCCATCTAATGCAGGCAAAGCACCAGTGTGAGCACTCTCCTGGTGCTGGGAGCAGAGCTGCCCATGGCAGGGTCACTGCCAGCGCTGTGCTGGGGGTCAATCCCTCCCACCGATAAAGGCATGTGACCCGTCTCATGCCCCAGGGAAGGTTGGCGCTTCCTCCAGGGCTGAACGTGGCCCTGTAGATTGTGAAGCGTTGCTGCTGTGGGCCGGGAAGCAGAGACAAGGGGCTCCCCCACCCCCCTCAGGGTGTCAGCGACTGTTGAACATAAAAATGCTTTAGAGATCATCTCAAAGGGGCAGAGTCCTGTCCCCTTTGCTAACCCCACTAACTCCTCCCTCCCCCCCCGGAGCTGATACACCCGTTTCCTGGCTTTACCTCTGAGTCTCATTGTTGCTGGGGCTTTTCATTTCACTGAATCAACTTCTGAGCCCCCTACACCTGCACCTCCCCTCCAGTCCCACACGAGCCCTTTCCCTTCTGGCTGGCACAGCTGCACTGCTCTCACACCCCCCACCCCGGAGTCCTTCACTGCATGTCCAGCTGGCGGCAGCCACGCGGTGCTGGGGGGGGGCTAACCTGGGGTTGGCGTTATGTTCAGGGTACTGGGGTGGGACAGCAGGAGACGTGCCCAGGTAGGATCAGGAATAACCTCTGCTTCCAGCCAGAAGACTCTGGAGCCCCCGGTCTGCTTCCTCAGCCAGCCTGCAAGCCTCTCTGTGTTTCGGGCTGTGGCTACCTCAGGGATGGAGCTGTGGGTTGACACCTGAGGGCTGCTCTTCAGCGGGGCTGGCAGAGACACAACTGTGTTCCACCCCCAGTGCTGAAAGCATTATAGGCTTTGACGCCCAGCTCAGGGCATCGTCTGGGCAGGCCTGGCCACAGAGAAGCCAGCGCCAGAAGCAGAAAGCTATTCACGCAGCACGGGGATGGAGCAAGGGGAAGGCTGTGTCTGGACAGACAGATGGGGCACAGAGGGAGCATAACAGTGCTAGCGCTGGGCTGCTGTGTGCTGGGCTCTACTGCCCCCTGGTGCTCCATAGGGGAAGAGGTATTGAGAAGGAAAACAACCCAGTGGTTCTGAGTTAGCTGAGCCAGCCCGTCTCCCCACTTCTCTTGGAAACTCCTGGGGAATCCTGCCAGAGAGGGGCCCACAGCCAGCACATGCAGCCAGAGCCAGTTAGATCTTCCCTTCTCTCTGGGCCTGCCGGCACCCCTCTCTTCTTGGGATTTGCAGAAGAAGCTGTTCCTGTCACTGCATCCTTGTGGCATCTGCCCCGTGGACAGTCACTGCTTGCCCGGAGGCCAGGCACAATCCAAGTTGGCCAGAGAGGGGGCCCCAGAAAGGGCCCTCTGCAGGGTGCTCTCTTCGGTGAGCAGATGGAGGATGCTGCTGGATAAATTGTGTCACTATCTGGGCAGGGGTCAAGGCTGGCGCGAGGGGATCTCCGTGGGGAAGGGGAGGGCAGACCCCCCGCAGTAAGGAGATGGGGAGGGCTAGCCCAGGAGCAGAATGAGCTGCTTCCCAATGACCCAGGCGATCACAAAGCAGGAAGGGAGCAGTGGCTGTGACACCAGCAGAAGAGACATTAGGACTGGAGTAGGTGGGAAATCTCTCCAGAGCTCCTACCCCATTCCCTACAGGAACTTCCACTCAGAGAGAGTGCGGCTGACCTTGCCGTGAGCTCACCCAGCCAGCACTGCTAGGCCATTGCCTATGGCGACTGCTTCTAGGAGAGCATGAGACTGGAGGACCTGGGAGTGCCCTGCAGCTGGTGTTCCTACGTTAAGTCCCGGCAGAAGGAAATCACCCCACTATCAGAGCTCCTATTGGAGGACGTGGGAGCTCCCCCATAGCCAGTACTCCCACACCATTCCCTACAGTGCCTCCTGCTGGGAGAGGCTGGGACTGGAGAAACCCTTCAACCACTGCACAGGGAGGGAGGGGCGTGTGTTGGGCCCCTTGGAGGTTGCTGGTGTTTGCACTGGGCTTGGAAGGTGATGTTTTAACTGGCAAGAGCTGGTGGTTCAAGGTCTCTGCCCAGCAGAGAGGTTTAGTCTGCGAAACGATAGCTGTGCAATTTGCTGGTGCTTTCTTTTCCTTCCCCTTCAGTCTTTCGGGGCTGGGTTACCGATCAGTCTCCTGGGTAACAGTACTAACAACTCAGCTCCTGTCTGCTGCTCTCGCTGGGTCTGAACTGTGCTGACCGTGCAGGGCACCATCTCTCCAGCTCACAGCCTGGGTGATCACAGCAGAGGCTAGGCACCAGCGCCTGTGCACCATCCAGGGCTGCCATGCATCTGGCTCCTGGGCTCCCTGAGGCTGGGGGCTCTTCAGCAGCTCTTGGGGTCAGCCTAAGGTTCGGCAAAGGAAGTTTAGCTTGGCTGCGGGGCGATGTGGAGTGGAGCTGCATCCCATTATGTGGATGGGATTGGCTGGTCTTTGGGGGCACGGGGGTGTCAGTTTGTGAAGCAGGTGCCTTGAAAGGGGAGGGTCTTTCTTTTCCCTCTCACTTTCCTGGTGGCAGCCTGTTGAAGTCTGTCCAAATGTCTCTCTGTCCTATGCACGTTTGTTTCTGTGACGTGCTTTGTGCTGGGTTCTCTGTGTTATGCCTCTTCATGAGCGCCTGGCTGAGAATGCCTAAGCGTGCGGCAAGTGGAGAGAGAGTGACTGTGTGTGTGTGTGTTTGCACTTAAAGAGAGCGAGACTGTGTGAGTGTGTATGTCCTGAGTTCCTGGTGGAGGAGGAGGGAGGCATTGGCTAAGGAGGAGCCTGGCCTGAGCAGGTTGGCCAGCCAGATGGAGATGTTAGTAAGAGGGACAGTGACATGGCCCCCCCGGAATCCCAGTGTGACAGATGCCTGGGCTGGAGACTGTCTCATCACTCCCACCATTGCCTTGGTCCCAGCCATGTTACAAGCAAAGCTTTATAAGCTGTGTGTGCAGAGCATAGGTGCAGGGCACGTGGCAGAGGGTATCTGGCTACATCTGTTTCAGCCAGACCCTGGCCTGAATGCAGTGTGTGTGTGTTCATATAGGGGGATATTGCACTGCGGAGAGCATGCATCTTCTGGAGGGGCAGTGCACAGCAGTTTCTGAATAGGATGGGGGAGGGGGCATCCAGTATGGAGACACAAGTGATGGGTACACAGGTGGGGTTGGTGGTGGGGGTGCCTGCAAAGACAGACTGGAGACTCAAGTGATGTGTGCATGCACACTCAGAATGGAAACACACACACACACGCAAACACAAAATGCATGTGCGTGTATCCAGAATGGAGATATAAGTGATGGGTACGTTGTATGCGTATACATCCAGAATAGATACACAAGTGATGGGTACACAGGGGGTGGGGGGGGGGTGTTTGTGTGTGTGTGCGCACGCAAAGACAGAGTGGAGACTCAAGTGGTGTGTGTACACTCAGAATGGAGACATGCATTGTGTGTGGGGGCGGGGGTGTACATCCAGACTGCAGACACAAGTGATAGGTAAGGGTGTGTGTGTGCATGCACAGCCAGAATGGAGTCAGTGATGGTGTGTGTGTGCACGTGTCTGTGTGCCTGTGTGTGCACGTGTACATACATCCAGCATAGAGACCCAAGTGATAGCCAGCTGGATGCATCTGTGACTGTCTGGGGGTTCCCTTCTTGAGAAGTGTCTTGGCTGTTGGGCCAGCTGGCCCCATTGCCGCGCCCTGGGCTGGATGTGTGAGGAGCTCCCCGGAGGCGCTCTTCTTGCTAACCGAGCAGTGAGAGGGTCTCTGCATGTTACAGACATGCCCCTGGAGGAGGTTCGCGCCTTCGAGACTCAGATGCAAGTGGCCACAAACCAAAAGTTCGGAAGCCAGGACCCCTAGCTTCCCACCCACCCCGCCCGGGACTTTCTTTTGTATGTATGTTCCTTTTTGGTTTCTCTCTTTCTCCAGTTCTTGCAGCTGTTGTTGTTCAGGTTTCCTCCCAGCCCCACCTCTGTGCGGTAGGGCTTGGCACGGGAGCAGCTCCTTCCCTGATTGTCAGTCTGAAACCAGCTGTCGGGCAGAGCTGCGAGTCATTGTGGGCCCCCAGTGCTAACGTGGGGTGAGGAGTTGGAGCTGGGTGGCCTGGCAAGCCCTCTCTTGTGCCAACGCTCTTTAGAGCTAATCGTCAGCGAGCAGGGAGTGCTCAGACCTAGCAGCCGTGGGGAGGGGAGCAGCAGGTGCTTGGGGCTGTGGGACTGTCCTTTCCTGTGTTTGGTTATGCTGCCATGTCTTCGTCAGGCCGGGGCTTTCCTTCCGCTCTGCTGGGGGCTCTTCACTGGCAAACTAGGCACAGAGTTCCCCTCCCACATCCCAGCCCCATGGAGATTGGACACACACATGTATTCACCTCCGGGCAGATTGCACGCACACCCCTACACCCCAGTTCCCTGGAGATTATCCTCACACACGGTGCCCTCCCCCCGCCCGCCCACCTTCCGAAGCTGGTGGTTTCAGAGGGACACATTCACAACTGCACCAGAGTCCTGTTTCCCATTCATAGCTCATGCAGTCTCTTCCATTGGCGTCTCCCCCCGGTGTCCTGGATCCTGAGCGGGCAGCATGGCCACCTGCTTTTTTGGAGCTGCTTGCTTGGGTCCCCTTGCCCTTCGCTTTCCTGGGCTGGGTGGATTCAACCAGAGAAATTTGACCAATGAGCACTAGAAGCTCTGGGAGCTCTTGGTGAATGAGTTGGATTTCCCAGTACCAGCCAGGTGCCTTGCACACCTCCTGAGGGTCTGGATCAGCCCAGCCCTTAACTTGGGTCCGTCAGGTGAGTATTTAGTTAATACTCGTGGGAGAGGCTGACAGCAGGGTAGGCAGAGCAGAGGCTGTGCCAGCTTCCCCAGTACAGCTCTGCCAATGCACCTCGCCCCGACCTACGTCCCCTGCTATTCCAGTATTAGACCCTCACAAGATAACAGCCCAGAATGGAAACCTGGGCCCTGGCTCATGGCACAGCCCGTAGCAGAGGTACACAGGTAGTCCCCAGGCTGTTTGCTGGACCTGACGCAGCTGGCTTGCCCAAGAGGCAAGAAGCAAGTCTGTTCACCTGCTGGCTCTGTAGATCCAACCATGTACAGGAGCTGCCCTGTGGTGGTCATGGCTGAGTCGACTCACTCCCACATCCCTCGGCTTCATGGGAGGGGAGGTGTTGGCGGGGCATCTTCTCTTACGGTGAGGGCCGTGCTATGGACGAGTCAGAGACCTCAGGGAAACGATTGTTGCTTAGGTTGAAAAAGTGCGCCTCTCTGGGGAATAGCAGAGGGCTTCAACCACCTTATCCTGGCTGTGGCTCCCTTTTACAGACCTTTTGGGCCATAGTTTGCTCTCTATGGCCTCATCCAGTCTGTGTTTTAGCCACAGCAGTGATGGGCCCTGTGTAAACACCCAGAGGGACGGGGTGGGATTAGATTGGGTTATAGCAGATAGAGCAGTGGTCCCCAAACTTTACCCCGTGCCCCCCCTTACCCCTATCTATGCGCCCCTCCCCCCCCCCCCCCCCAGGACAGATAAGGGGGCCAAGGCTGGGGCCACAGCTGGGGGCGGGTGTGGGGCTGGCAGCCAGGGCCAGGAGCAGAACTGGCTGGTGCTCCCTCCCTGCCCCCTCTGGGGGCTGGCCCGGGCCCCAGCCATGCCCCCAAATGTTAGGGGGGTGTCCCACAGTTTGGGGACCTCTGAGATTGTTCCACAGATGGCAGAAATTACGTTGAGCAGCCTTATCCTCAGCAAACCCAGGTTTATGGGACAGCTGGCCCTCAACTTGACAGAGGCTTAAGAGGAAGAGGCCATCCTTAGTTACTCTGGCTGTGGAGGCAGAAGCTGGTTTTTGCCTGGCACTCGGAGAGCAAAGGGAGCAGGTGCCACCCCCTCTGCTTCTCTCGGACGGGCCTGTGAACTCTATTTCTCTTTGCTCTTGGCAGAGATGACGATGGACGAGGTGCGTCAGTATGAGAGGGAAACTCAGGAAGCCACCAACGAGATCATCGGCAGGGTAACGCCCTCCATTTCCATCAGCGAGGTGGGGCAGCCCTCAGCCACTCACAGCGCCCCTGCCAGTGCCCCCTCCACGCCACTGAGCGGCGACCCCCCAGAATTCCTCAGCGCACCCAAGGACAGGGCCCGGAAGAAATCCGCTCCGGAAATGCTGACGCTGCCAGCACTGAGGGAGCGCGCCAATGCTGAGTAATAGCTACCCTTGGGCCAAGCCCATCGGACGGACGCAGAGCCCCGATTCCTTCCCCCCATGACTTGGGGACAACGCCACCCACCTAACCTGCCTTGAGACGCCTAAACTCTACTGTTGTCCTTCAGAATGTCGTTCCCTCCCTCCCCAATAAAAGAGACCCCAGATCGGTTCCAGCGCCGGACGGCGGAAGCCCCGTTGTGAGGTTGCAGACTTCCCTGCTGTCCTAGATGGCCTGAGGCTGCCGTCTCCCTACTCCCCTGTGGTCGTCTCTCTCTTCTCAGCATTCCAGTGCGGGCTCTGCTTTTCCAGCCATCAACTCAGGGAGGGCTCCTGGTCCAGCCAGCACATTGGTGCTGCTTCTTGAGGGAGATGCGCTGCACCAGACCATGTCGGCGGCGCTGCTCAGCCACCCCTCATCTGTCCTGGGGGGTGATGCTCCTCCAAGCACCCTCTGCTGGAGCCAGGCTGGGGAAGGAAACCGACACGCCAACCTCTCCCTAATGAAGTCGGAAGCACCTTAGAAACGACAGTGGATTCTTCTTATTAGCAACCTCTTGGTTGCCATTATCTGGAAGTTATCAATGAGCAGGAGGCAGGTGCTGCTAGGGAAAGAAGTGCTGGGATATGCTGAGCAGGGTCCTCGGTGCCAGGGCAGGACACGGCCTGGAGAGCGCATGGAAAGGTACCTTGCGACCCCAGCGCTTCCTTCCTGTGCAGCCCTGCAAACCTGCCTGCAGCCGTGGCCAAGCTGTCAGTAAGCAGCAGGCCATTGGCAGTGTGGGAATCCCATTAACATTACAGGGGGCAGGATCAGCTGGCTAAACACTACTATTAACCAGAAGTTGTTAGCATCAGGATTGCTTGTAAGTGGAATCTACGATATCCATAAAAACTGCCAGGCATTGGCTGCCCCTGGTCCCCATTGGGACCTGCCAGGACTTTTAGCTGATGTCCCTGCCTCCTCCCGTGATTTCCGGCTGCACGCCTGGCTTCCATGTAAAACAGTGGCCCCAACCATCCACCTAACCTCACTGTACAGTCTCCTCCCAGCTGCAAAGCCATGGTGAGGGCACCTGCTTCCTTTCCAGGCTAAATAGGAGAGCCAGGTATTGGACTGAAGAGAGGCGCTGCCGACAGCCCTATCCAGACTGCTTTGGGGACAATCCCCTGCAGCCAGATGAGATTCCTCAGGGCACTGGTGAAGAGCCAGGCCGGGGCCTTGTCTATGCTAGGGACAGTTTCCTACCTGTTGCTAGCCCTGGTTCTCCGGCACTAGCTATGTTAGGAGCCCCAGTGTAGAAAAGGCCCCACCAGATTGTACGCCCGCTCTGAGTAGGGGGTTATGCGACACGGGCCTGATTATCATTTACACTCAGGGCCCCACCCTCTGCCCTCTCAGTAGTTCAAAGCAGCTATGGTGTGCATTGGCGCTGGCAGACAGCAAGCCGGCTTTGCCAGGCCCCGGTGTTGCTAAGCGGTGGGTATGCCTCAATGTTAGGAATGGGATGGGGAGCTTCAGCCTTTGTCTCTAGTGTAGACAGGTCCCTGAAGCCTGAATTGCTGCTCTTCGCATTGCTGCTTCTGCTGTCCCAACTGAGCTGCCCCGTGTCTGTAAGCCCTGCCAGGGGAAGGTCAGGGAGGGCCCAGCCTGGTGCCCTTTCCTTTCACCAGTCCCCTCTGGTGACACTGGCAAGAATGGAGCCCGTCACTCCTGACCACCCCGCCTTTCAGCCAAGCAGTGTTCTCTCCGTTGGTGCCTTCAGGAGTAGGACTATCGCCACGCATGCTTCCTGGTGCCCTTGTGGGCCCTCGGCGAGGCTGGTGTGCACCACTCCCCCTCCCTCCATGCACCATGTTACCATCTGTTCCGACTGCGCCTCAGTCACCTCAGACTTCAGCAGCCTTGAAACTGCCTCTTGCTAATCCAGCTCCCTGCTGGAGTAGGGTCTTATTGCCAGCTGAGCCCCAGGAGCTGCCATGCAGGACCTAAGGGATGCTGGAAATGTGCAGACTCTGGGAACAGGGGTGTCAACCACCAACTGTCACAGCCATAAGGCTGGTTTTGAACCGCCCATACTAAGCACACGTTGAATTGCACTTATTCCTAAACAGGAATCTCCCCAACTCCCTCCCCTCTGCTAGGGCCTCCTGGCTGGTCTCTGTTTGTCTGGGTTGTAATTATCCATGCTACGAATCGTGTCCCAGACCAGCAGAAATGAAATAGCCAGTGTCTGCTTCAAGAAAGTGCATGGGCCTGCTGCAGGAATAGGGATGGTCTAAGCCAAGGTGACCCTGAGCAACAAGGCCCTGGTCCCGTGAGGAGCCGAGCACCTCTTCCGTAGCTCTGTGTGCCTTCCGTTGAGGTTTAGGGGCCTCAGCAGCAAGCAGGGTCAAGCTTGTAGTCTTTTACATGAGGCCACTGGAAGAGTAGATTGGCTCTTGCTTGGGATTCATAGTTGCCAGCTGAGAAGCACTGGGACGTGATGGGAGGAGGCTGGGTTTGGAGATGCACCCACATGTTTGGATGTTTTTCCCAACCTTCTACAAACTATCCCAAACTCTTGAGTCTGCAAAACTGGGCTGGGATTTGATGGGAACAGGGTCTCGTGGCATTTTGTCACCCCTGGAAGCTACGTGAAAATGGGGAACATTAACCAAGCATTTTGGATAAGTTGAGTTTGAGATGAAGGTTTGGGTTTATTTTTAATTTGATCTAGGCTGGTTTGTCCGCCCCATGGGCAGTGCAAAGGGCTGATGCAGTTGTGCAGAAAATCCATTCACTGCCTGGCAGCGCTGAATGCAATGGAAGGAAGTGTTTTTATATGTGCTATAGAAGGTTGGATATTAGAGATGGGCTAGACCCAGAGACTCCAATTCAAACCCTTCCCAAGGGTGAGGAGTTGGATTTGAATCCTCCGAGTGTGGTTCAGGTTCTGGATCAAATCCAGAATTGGGAGGGATCTATTTGCTGCTTCCAGGAAGCAGCTGAAATCTCACAAAGCCACATGGCAAGATTTTTGCACCCTCGGATTTACACTGAAGACCAGAATTCCAAGTCAGAGCCTTGCTCCGTAGGATCTGAGTCCATCTCTGGGGTAGATCATTATCCCTGGTTGGATGGATTTTACAAAGCCCCCTCTGGTGTCACTGAGTTTTATGTACCTCGCTCAAGTTTTGTGTAGTATGGACTAAGCCTTTTAATGTGTCTGGTGCTTCCTGGGTCTCAGGGCCTTGTGCGGCTGGGATTTGGTCTGTGTTTCGCCCAGATACAACATTCCAGTCTGGACTTCTCTGCTTTGTGTCTTTAATTGTGAGCCCTCGCAGGCTCGCGCTTTGTGCCAAATTCCAAGGCCATGTGTTGGTGCCCGTGGAAAGTGTGTGCGTGAACATATGGGTGTGTGGACCGCTGGCCTCACGTAGCCATGAGAGTGTGTTCCCACTGCAGCGAACGCGGAGGTGTTTGGGCTGCTCCCGTTTTGGTCCCCAGAGGCCCTGGGCTGGAGTTCTGTCTCTCGTGGGTGGCCCGGGGCCTTGGCTTCCTGAGGTGCCACCTGGGCAAGTGTGTAGTAGCTGGCAATGGCAGGGGCTCTGCAGGGAGCACACAGGAGACTGGCTCTTGATTGGTGCCCTCTGAGCGAGTGCCGACCATCATGCACGGCGGCCGGAGGCCAGTGCTGAAGCTGAAGGGCCGTTCTCTTATAAATAGCACCTGGCCATGGGTGTCTGTCGAAGAGCCACTCCCCCTACTCCTCCACCCCATTCCCATTCTGCGTCCATGGGTTGTGTTTGTGCAGAGCCCCTGCCTCCCTGCACTTTCAATGGGGCTAGGGCTGCAGCTGCCAGCCTGTAAATAGGGATTTGCTGAAGACAAAACCCAAATGTGAGGCGGGAGGGTCTGCATCACAGTGGGGTCTGGGGGATTGGCGGGAATGTATCTTGCATGCAAGTGTCATGATGTAGCATTCCCCACCCCTTGTCTGGCTTCCTACCCTCCCCGCCCAGCTCCCAACTACTCTCACCCCCTTCCTCCCTGCCCCGTGCCCCGTCCTCTTACACCCTCACTAATTTCTTTCTCTTCCACCCCCTCCCCTGTCCCCCCCAGGCAGCCAGGGCACTGGGTGTCTGTGGGCTGAGGGAAGCCCTGGGTGCAGGTTGCCAGGTGTGCGCTGAGCTGGTAGCAGTAGGCGCTCCCTTTCAGCAGATCCAGGGGGGAGCATAGACCTTCCCTGCTGAGAGGCTTAGATCAGCTCCTGAAGGACAGGGACATCCTGACCCCGCATTCCCTGCAGGGTGCTGAGGACACCCCCTGGATGCACAGGGGCTCAGCCTGGGCCTAGGGAAGCAGGCTTGCCCTGGTGACACCAGCGCCCCCTTCTGTCTGTTCCAGGCAGGCAATGTGAAATATTTTTCTCTCTTGAATTTGTTCCTGCGGCCCCGTGCTCCTCGCATGTGAGAGGCCATTTCGGTGTGGGCCAGCTAAAGAGGGGGGCAGGGGCTGGCTTCCTTTCTTACAATGAAGCCCTTTTCAGAAATAAAGCTGTTGCTACTGGCTTCTCTTGAGTGTTTTTTTGTTTCTGTTGCTTCTCCCGTCCCTGCTCTGTGCCCCTTTTGGGGGTGTGTGTCACCTCCAGGGAGAGGGGTGGCAGAGAGGGGTGTCTGGCCACGAGCCTGCTCCTGGGCCACGCCCACTATGCACCCTGGCTCAGGAGCGTGGCCATCACTGGCCCTGGAAGGCAACCACCACGGGGGAAGGGCAAATGGCTCTTTAGTGGACAGAAAGGATGCTTCTGCAATGCTGCACACGGCACCTAGCTGCACCAGCAATGGGTCCATTCGAGAGAGTGAGCTGCATTCGCTGAGGCAGGCACCGCCAGGAAGAGATCCTGTCTGGGTATTGAGGTCACCAACATGTCCCATGGCTGTGGCCCTCTGGGGTCACCGAGGCAGAGGACAACATGAGAGTAGCAGGCTAATGGGGGGTGGATCTAACCATGCTCAAGGGGCGTTGCAGGCTGGGTCTAATGGAAAAACCTGCCTTTCAGTGATGACAAGCCAGGGTCACAAATATCACTCCAGGGTTTCCCTCCTCCCCAGCCCCAAACTCCCAAGCCAGATGTGTTCACTACATGGCAATACCACCTCCAGTCTCATTCCAGAGCCCCAGGGAGCTAACTACCTGCCCCTTCCACGATCCAGATGTTCCTCTGGCCTAAGGGGACAACACCTTCCCCATGCGCCAAGTGGAGCTGCTGTAGCTCCTGGAAATGAACAGGCAGAATAAACAGGGTGGGGTTGTAACTTGGGCCCAGGCCCCAGAGACGGTGGCTCTTGGCTGGGTGCCCCGTCCTTGGTTGAGTGGGAGCAAGTGCCTGTTTGCACGCTGGGTGCCAGGGCAGGGTGGAAGCCTTTCCCCAGAGCCCCCCGTTGAGCTGAGACGGGCATTCTCACCTGTGGGCTAAGGTAGTAGCTGGGGAGCTGACACCAGGCACATGGACCCCCAAAGGCTGGCACCGGCAGTCAGGAGTAGCCACCCTGGATGCTGCCCTAGTAACTACATGCTTTATGATCCCAGCTCCTTTGAGATCTGCTACCAGCTAGCACTATAGGAGAGCAAGACCCTGGTGATATTTATTATTACCTGGAAGGATCCTCTTCCATGTTGCTGATGCATCACTGTAACACACAGCCCTGTCCAGCAGAGGGCACTATCTGAAGTATGCTTTACAGCCCCCTGGAAAAGGCCCACCCACCTCCCAGGTCCCCTGCACTGCACAGCCCAAGCACGCAGCTCTCCTGCCTGGGCTGGAGCATGGAGATTCCCTGTCCAGTGCTGGCTGGGAGCCTGGGGAGGAGGGACTCAGAAAGAGTCCTGCACTCTGGCTGGGAAGGTGGCAGTAGCTGACAGCACGTATAGCAAAGGTGTCTCCTCTCTACTCCCCTCTGTCCTCAGCCCCGTCTATCCCCCCCATATCTGGCTCATCCGGGGTGCCAGCCAGCCCGTGGCACATGATGTAGTAGGCGCTGCAGTAGATGGGTGACTTGTTGGGGTTGGAATAGACCTGCTCCGGCTTGAGAGAGGCGAAGGGATTGGCTCCGTAGCTTGTGATCTGGGTCTCCAGCTCTGTCAGGATTTTCAGGGAGTACTTCAGCTCCTGCTCGCTGTCGGGAGGGGATGGGGCACAGTTAGCACACTGCCAACCTCACCCCAGCCCTGACCCCCCAGACACCTCCTGGGATTTGACCCCTGCTGGAGTAAAACACCAGGGCCCTGACACTGCACCAGGAGACTTGCAGTGTGAGCTTCCCCACAGCAGTGCCCCATCGGTGCCAGCTGGGACTCCAGCATCGTGAGCGTCCCCCACAGCAGTGCCCTGTCACTGCTCGCCAGGGCTCCAGCAGCACCACCGTCACTGCAGTGCTCTGACAGTGGCAGCTGCCAAAATGCTCTCTTAGCAGTTTAAAACAGAGTCAGGCGCTAATAGCCAAATACAGCCTGTTATAAGGTGACTTGCAACAAGCTGACTGGTTCAGAAAGCAGACATCTCATGCAAATGACTGTCTGGAGGATTCTGGGGCACAGGACAGCAGAGCCCCACATGTACTCAGCCCCCCAAGGGAAAGCAGGGGGAAGGGCCTTTCTTACTTGTAGACGGTGAAGAGGGTGGGGATCTTGTAGTCCCGCAGCAGCAGCAGTGTGGGGAGCCAGCCTTCCATTACATCCAGGCAGGCATGTAATCCTGCAGAGGGAAGGACACCAGAAAGCTTTGGAGCCTGATCCCCTGCCCAGTGAGGCCAATAGCAGTCGTGCCTCTGGTGTCACTGGAAGCAGGTTGAGGCCCTTGCTGTGGTAGGTGCTGAAGCTGCGTGTGTGCTCATGCTCAGGCATACACGCACTGCCACCCCATTGTCCCATCCCCTGCATAGCATCATGTTTCCAGGAGGCCCTGTTCTCCCCGCCTTGCAAACAAGTAGCTCCCATGACTTCAATGTCTCCCACGAGGAGGGGCAGGCGCAACAAGCCCCTGGAGTTTTCTCAGCAGGGAGCGGTGACAAGGAATGCTGTTCATGCAGCTGTCTCGCCTGCCCCCAGCTAGGACACCCTGGATGGAATGAGCTGACCGGAGCAGTGTTTTGGGAGTGGGGGATTGAGAAGCATTCCCAGCTTGTGAGCCATTGGGGATTTCACAGGCTCCCTCTGGCTCTACCAGGCCAGCCCCCTGCTTGCAGTGTTATTGTCCTGGTGCTAGCGTACGGCCAGCAAAATGCCATCATGGCACACCGGCATGCTGACTGTCTTCCTCTTATGGGAACATTGGATCCCAACATGATGCCAACAAGTTGGTCCTGGAGGACACAGCGGGTCAGTCAATCCACAGTACCTTCAAACTGCTGGCTAAGGGATAATAAAAAGCCTTTGCACTGCTATACCTTTCCTTCCAGGGCCCCAAAGCATGGTACAACACCTGTGAGATATCCCCATTTTACAGCTGGGGAAGCTGAGGCACAGAGCCATAGACCTTGCCCAGAGCCAAGACTAAAAGCCTGGGATCTTGACTCCCAGTTCTCTGTTCCAGCCAATAGCCTGTGCCTCTTATGCAATGATCTACATGGCTGCAAACAGAGGAAACCACAGGTATTTTTCATTGCTTGCAACTGATGCTTTTGTGTTGTGGTATTATTGAGTCTGTTTATTAACAACGCTAGATGCCTGCTTGATGCTTTGCAGACAGGTAGAATATGGCAGCTCGCTGCTCCATGGCTTTTACAGTCTAGCTCAGGCATGAGGCTCGGTCCATACTGAAACATTAGATTGGCATAACTCTATCGGTAATGGGTGTGAAAACCACACCACTGACCGACATAGCTATGCTGACAAAATCCCTAGTGGAGATGCAGCTTTGTCAACCATAGAGGGCTTCTGTCTACAGAGCTGACTTCGTTTGGGGAGGTGGTATTCCTAGACTGACAGAATCTCCTTCTGTCAGTGGAGGCTGCGTCTACACTATGAGGCTAGGCCAGCATAGCTATCGTCTCCGTAGTGTAGACATACCAGCAAGGGGATGACCATGAACAGAGGGCCGTAGGCCCAGATCCTCAAAGGTACATAGGTGCCTTTGATTTCAGTCAGATGCTTAAATACCTTTGAGGATCTGGGCCTTAATACTGAGAAACCAAGGGCTACAACAGAATAATATGTGCATGTGTGTGTGCACACGCACATGCCACCAAACCAGAATCTTTGGTAAAAGCCACCAGAGGGTGCCTAAATCCACAGCCTAAAAACACAACCCCCAAACCCAGAAGCACACCAGTTACATTCTCACCCAACCTTTGTAACCTACAACTAGGATTTTCCCCTTCCTCCACCTTACAACATGCACACCCACCTCCCATAACGCATGTCTCTGCCCTCCACAAAGCACACCCCAGTCAGAAATGGCCGATTTGGATTGTTCTGAGTGTTGACCCAGTGCCATGTTGAAGAAGAGCATGCTTGTGCAGCGCAGGTTCTTTAGTGGATGGTTTGAGAGGGTAACATTGGACACTGTTTACTTAGCAATCTATAGCAGTATTGATCATTCTGAACAGTTATCGATCGCGGTCTTGTTATTTAGGTGCGGTAACAGGGGAGCTCCGAGATTGTGTTTTGTTCTTCCAGCAGTTGATGTTTGAGTTAAGGATGGTTCAGTGGTTAGGGCGCTAGTCTGGGACTTGGAAGATCTGAATTCAGTTCCCTGCTCTTCCACATACTCCCTGTGTGACCTTGGGGCACATTGCTTAGTCTATACTAGAAAGGCTTTGTTAATACAGCTATGCCAGTCAACCCTTCTAGTGAAAGACACAGCTTCCATTGACAAAAGAGTGCTATTGCCAGTATAGCTAATCCTGGTTCCCCAAATGAAATAAGCTACAACTGTGTTTGCACTAGGGCTTTTGCCACCCTAGGAAGATCATAAATAAAACCGCACTCCTAACCAACATTACCATACCAGCTAAATTTCTAGTCTAGACCTGGCCTCATTCTCTCTGTGCCTCAGTTCCCCTCTATAAAATGGGGATAAGAGCACTTCCCTACTTCAGAGTGTGTGGGGTGGATAAAGCCATCCATATACCATGGCAATAGGGGCTG